CATGCTACTGGCCAGATTAAAAAAGAAAAAACAATGTAAAAAGCTAGTTTATCTGTAATTTAACATCTGGAAATGGTATCTGCATACCAGATGGTGCATATTGAGCAGAAGCCTTTTGGAGACCATTCGAGACATGTAAATAGATCAAGGAAGAAGAACGGAAGCATCTCTCATGTCATCAGCTCCTCATCTAGTTTTCTGCATTTGTACTTTCAGATATTGCTAAGTCACTTTTCTGTAAAGTTGTTTAAAGATGTCCTAAGCACAATCTTCATATTCAGTGACTGAAGGCAGTCAGCGTCATTGACCCTGCAAAAAACTGTATGCCACATCCTTTCCCCACTCTCTGTTGTGAACTTTCACATCAGAAATAAACTGATTATATTCATCCCCTAGCTGACAGTCATACACTTTGACATCTCAGAACAAGAATGGTTATTTTAGAACACCTTGAATTACTTACCCTGTGAAGAGGGTGTGGTGTCAGTAAAAGAAAACACATTGTCACTCTTCTCTTTTTCTTCCCAAATCAGTGGCCACTGGTAGTATCAAAAGCCTTGCTTAGGAGGTGGTTCAGTACCAGAGAAGTGAGAATCACTTGACTTACTTTCAACTTTAGGAGCCTCAGACAGTTTTGTTCTTGTACTTTATGAGTTTAAGGACACAAACCTACTTACAATAACACTGTTTTCTGTCTAGAATAATCTAATTTTGGTAGGGATGTGGTATTTCCATTTTGAAGTATATTCTAACAGCTACTACACACATACTGCAGTGATCATGTGTTCTACTACTAGCATGACTGAGAATGTCAGCTTGCCAGCTGACAGCAGTTTTAGTGTCATGATGTGACATTGCACATAAAATACGATTTCATGCATTGTTTTATAGGGTAGTATTTCTTAGCCTTATTAAATTAAAGGACCACTTAACTCAGAATTGGACAAAATCAAGGCTGTCTGATACAGCATTACCACAGCGATTGTGTTTGCTTTCAAGTAAAAAATAGGTTAAACTTTGAGTTCTTGTTAATAACTTGTATGTTCTCTCATTGTGTTTGTCTTTTTCCTTGCATAGGGTTGAGAAATACTGTTAATGGGTGGATTGGGCAAACAAAGTATTTTTGTCTTGAAGAAAAGAGCCTGAAGGTTTTAGCCTTCTCTTCTCTGAAATTATGGACATTAAATTGCTGTATTTGTAGCCACTGTGATTACAACTAGAATTAATTTGACTGTTGGGAGCTCAAAGTAAAATGAAAGCAAATTGAAATAACCCTCACAGGTTTTAGGTTCCTTGTTTTCCCATCAAGGACTGTTATTGCATCCTCTTGGGGTGAATAAGATCTCCTACATGTATGGAAACTCCCAAGTGTCCCTAGATTTATGTGCTGGGTGCACTGATACTGGAGGCTCAGAAATCTCTGTTGTATGTGAAGCTGACTATCCCCTTCCTATTCAGTCTGTTTGGTTTGCTTGTGTTAGTGAATCACATTTAGTACATAAAAGAATGTTTCTTTTAAGTTAGGTGTTATTGGGAGGAAAGTCATAGGAGCAGGAAGAAGAGCAGGGTTTGACTGTGGTTTGTGTGCAGAGTTAAATAGATGCTGCTTAAAATCTTGGAGGGCTTGACACAAGCAAGAGTCATCAGCAGCCCTTGGTGTTGGCAGAGGTTAAGACAAGTTTCTGTGATGTTAATGCAGCCATGGCCCCGTGAAGGGCCGCCTTCACTCTCAGGGCAGAACTAAGACTTTTTGAAAAATTCCTGTTTAAATCCTTAAGTCAGAGAGATTTGAGGGTCCTTTTGTAGTGCACATTTGTTTGCAAAATAGTAGTGTCTTTTATTATCCAAATGATTCATCTCCACTTATTCATCCTGACTGGCTAGAAGACCAGCAGTCTGCTGTCCTATTTTATTAGTACTGTCAAAACTGCCCATGCTTTGGTAAAAGAGAATGTTGCATGTAATCCAAAAGATTCACAGCCTTCTCTGTTTTGTGTTTACTGCAAACTGCAGGAAAAAAGATAAAGGCATGTCGGTAGAGTCTTCTCTGCAACACTCACCTGAGACTTGGAGTTGGTGAGGCCTGTTGGAAATGTAGCAGAGACACGTTGGTTTTACACAGCATTTTATTGGGCTGCTTCCTTCTCAGTGTGAGCTACACTTGTAATTAGTAGGTCTGGATCAAAGTAATGCAGGAGGCCTTGGCATTAACTAGGTCTTAAATGGAGCAGGTTGCACAGTGAGGTGATGGATAGCTGTCCCTTGACAGGAGCAGGGCTAAAGCAGTGGGGTTCTCAAACTGGCTGTAATTTCACACCGGGCCATTGGCAGATGGAGAGGGAATTAGTAAGAATTACAAACTCAATTGTGCTTGAAAAGATTCCTCTGTGACTACCCTCCTCCTCCAAAAGTTATGGCCTTGTTGAAAGTTTTATCTTCTATCTCTGAGATAGAGAAGATGTAATATCAGTAGGCAGGATGCTTTCATTTCAAGTGCTTTTCCTGTACTTAAATCACTGCTGCTTCCATGTTCTCCAGAAATCAATAATAAAACTATCATTGTCTGCTGAAAACTATTTCAATAAAAAAGAAGGGGAAATGGGGCTTGTAAAATACTAGTTTTATTGTGTGCAAATATGATTAATGCAACATAATCTGATTGGAA